AAAATATATATTGTGTGTTGGAGTGTTCCAGACGCTACACACCCAAGAAATAACATAATTTGTATGCATTCTACAGCATAAAAACAAGAAAAATTTATTCTATCTCAATATATATATTTTTTTGTTTTGACTGCATTCTTTAAGATCAACCATTCAACCCTGTTACTCACACAATTAAAATTAATTAGAAAATATATATATTTTTCTTAATTTGTGGAAAATAATCCGAGTCTGACCTACATGTAATGGAGAGACAAGTTTTTTATCTTCATAATCTTTTTTGGCTTTGCTATTCTAGGAGATTTTAAAAGACCACATGAGCAGTTTGCTGGCAGTGGGGTCATTTGGGCTCTTTATTTTACAGTTTAGTTTAGAATTTCACAAAACAGACAAACAACTTGTCATCAAACCTACTTGTGGTAACAGAAAAGGAGAAAAAACTTTGTCCTTAATATAAAAATAAAGTAAATTCTATGCTTTATACTGTGCATATACCATACTTTGTATATGTCTTCTAAAAGTGACCGGTACCTTTCAGGCAGTGCTAAAACATGAAACAGAAAGCTTTTTGACACAAGGAAGATGCTTTTCTCCTCATCTCATGGTAGCTTGCGTTGAAAGCTTCCGTATAGCATCCATATCATATGCCCAAGTCTGGTCTAGTCCTTCATCCTCAGTGGCTGTGGGAGTCCAGTCAGGAAATGGGAAGCGACAGGCAATTACACGAGTCTCATCTGGTAACTCATTCTCCAGTTTCCTACCCAACACCTCCATCTGTAGACCACAAAGCACACTGTATTGACCCAGGTAAAATTCCAATGATCAGAGAAAATCACATCACAATTAAGAATAAATGTCTAGATGATGTAATTTGTTGCACTGACTTTTAAAGATACTATCTTAATACTCAGCTCAATATAAATGAAGAAAGGACATCTGTGCATACTTACCACTCCGGGTGCCAAGAAAACAGTCACATTGTTATATTTGGACAAATCAGTCTGTGAAAGGAAGTGATCAAACGGAATCATCAACACTTGGACATGTGAAATCAAATCAGAAATAAAATATGTGTAATTTTTCAATAGGTGGTTTTCCAAACAGTTGTAGAACTAGTACAGGTGTTGTGCCTACAGCAGTGGTTCTCAACCTTTTTGACACAAAGGACCAAATATTAACAGCATGTTTAAATAAATGTATTGTATAGCAAATATTATAATATTGTATATGTACTGTAATAGTTATTATAATTTAATTCTTAAATACAAATGAAATACAATTATTATAACATTTTAAAGATAAAAATATAAATGAGGAATACAAATAAATACAGAAATAAAATGAATACTTAAAAAAAATTATAATAATACTGAAACCCACTAAAAATAATGACTAAAATAATTTAATAACAGAAAACACATAACATTAAGCGGCCAAGCTGACATGGTTATTGGCTGATTTGATCATCAACTGTATTATTAACAGAAACTTGGAGTGTTGATAGGTACAATTAATTAATGCAAGATAAATAAAAACAATAAAAACTACAGATATTGAGGGAAAATATAAATATGATTTCAACAATTAAATCCTGTGCCTGAGGTTTGCTGATGCCCTCTGACTGAGAACTAGTGACCTAGAGGAATCTGTGTCTAGAGATCACTGTTCATTGAATGTTTGTGTGAAATCTCACCTAGTGCTCCTGCACATAATGGCTTTAATGTTTAATGTTTGTTTTAGTATCCCTACTCGGCAACATTTACTTAACCAATGGAATGAGTTGGGGGCGGAGCTATTTGTTTTACTGGCCAATGGATGAAAACTGAAGAGTTGTGGTGGCACAGGAATTACACACTTCACTTTAACACCTTTACCTTACCTTCCAAAAGTCCTGGTTAATAAAACTTGCGGTGTTGGATGGTATTCCCTTCCACTTTGCCTTGACTCTGGCATATCCAGTTAGGATAGAATTCATTTCAAAGCCAGTGCACTGGAAACCCTCTACAGTGGCAGAAATTACCTACAAAACACATCCAGGCCAATCCTACATTTTGAGAACCAGTGTCTGTGATATTTATGTCATTTAATACTGGACATGAAGCAGACTGCCAGTGGCTCATATTGTTTGCTTTCCATGTATAAAAGAAACCAAAAAGAATATTTTTAACGGCAAGACCAATGATTCTTGCAATTATAGATGTAACAGGAGAAAAAAACATGTTTTTCATTCAAATTTGACAGTTAATGAAATCTATTTTTGAACACAAAAGAAGCAGCCCCAGGTAGGCTGCCCAGTGGCCATTATCTTAGCGAGAAATTACTGTATAAATAACCCACATATTAGTCATTTAATTTTAGAAAGCCAAGCCCCAAGAGCTTATAAATGAGCTACATCTAACAGCAAAGTCTTTACTTTAAAAGCTTGTCCACATAAGTTTACTTCAAATTGAATGGACAAACAACCACCCCCTGCACAATTTACCAACAACACATTTAACGACAACATATTAGACAATTAAAAATCGGTTTACCTTTTGCATGCCAATGTATATGCTGTGTGTTTTCAGAACGGGGAATACGTGACATTCGTGTAAACAACAGAAGCGCACGCGAGAGTGGGATGGGCACTAGTTCTACTCTGGAGAAGGCCTAGCTCATTAATATTAATTTATCCTACTAACATCCTATGGCGAGTGATTTGCTTATGAATAGTAATGAATACATTGCTTTGTTAGCCCTGCTCATGAATATTAAACATGTGTTGTAATAGTAGGATTCGTACTACAGGTCTTAGTTTAAAAAGAAACTTTACATTTCTTTTTTTCTAAATAAATCAGCAAGTAATGCCGAAATAAGGAAAATGCTCATGAAAGGATCAAATTAGCCAATATTGTTGCTCGAATGAGTGCATTTGTAATATTAAAGCAACATTAAATTGAATTACAATAACGGAAATCCGAAACAAGAGTATTATTACAATGAAAACTAATAGGCTATTTTTGAATTTCAAAATGTTCTTCAGAAGTTACCTATCAGTAAAGTTTTGTTTACCTTTCCCCCTCTTTTTTTCAGTCGTTTTTGTTCATTCACATTTGCTTATTCTTGTCTTTTGTTTGTAATATTTATCGTCTTATTTATTATATATTGTACTATTGTTTTAAATCCAAATATGATCAGATCCACTTTTCTGTAGGTTGTCTTTGATCTGTGTGTGTGTGTGTGTGTGTGTGTGTGTGTACTTGGTATTTATCACGTTATGGGGACCAAATGTCATTTTTGAGGTCCCCATGAGGAAACAAGCTTATAAATCATACAGAATGAGTTTTTTTGAGAAAGTAAAAATGCACAAAGTTTCCTGTAAGGGGTAGGTTTAGGGGTAGGGTTGGTGAGGGCAGGGGTAGGCAAGTTCGGTCAGAGAGCCGCAGAACCCACCTGAGCAAGCTAATCAATGTCTTCAGGATTACTAAAGCTATAGGCAGGTGAGTTTTGTTTTCAGGGTTGGAGCTGGACTCTGCAGGACTTGCCTACCCCTGGTGTAGGGCAATAGCACATACAGTTTGTACAATATAAAAACCATTACGCCTATGGAATGTCCCCATAAAACATGGAAACACAACATGTGTGTGTGTGTGAGAGAGCGAGAGAGAGAGAGAGAGAGCACCACCGTCGCCCCCTGCTGTCGGCAGACCGCACTCACACTCTGGGCGGATGTGGGATGAATGGGTGGAGACTCGGTCAGAGAGCCGCAGAACCCACCTGAGCAAGCTAATCAATGTCTTCAGGATTACTAAAGCTATAGGCAGGTGAGTTTTGTTTTCAGGGTTGGAGCTGGACTCTGCAGGACTTGCCTACCCCTGGTGTAGGGCAATAGCACATACAGTTTGTACAATATAAAAACCATTACGCCTATGGAATGTCCCCATAAAACATGGAAACACAACATGTGTGTGTGTGTGTGAGAGCGAGAGAGAGAGAGAGAGAGCACCACCGTCGCCCCCTGCTGTCGGCAGACCGCACTCACACTCTGGGCGGATGTGGGATGAATGGGTGGAGAGTGCGAGGGTCTGCTGACGTCCATTGCGAGCATCACAGCATCCAACATTTATCCTAACAGCCGACTCCACCTCTCCACAACGGGAAAAAACTATAATTTATTAGGACTAAATCAGAATCAAGCTCCGTTTATTGTATTGGTTTTATTTATTGTCTAAAACAATGGAGTTATACGGAAAGGTAAGTGAGAAACGGCGTTATATATATTATGTTGTTTGGTCGTAATTGGAGCTACGCAAAAAGAAAAATAAATGGTTAATTTAATCATACTGTAAAAACGTAAGTGTCGTTTAAAGAGATTTGTCATTTGACAGCGTGCATAGTTGTGACCGGTTATGAAAGGTTTATTAAATTTATGAAACGCAACATCAGTGACGACAAAAGCAATCAGCCGTAAAAGCTCATTTATTCATAGGAGCTGCTAATTCAAACAGTACTGGTTATTTAAATATAGAAATATTGTGTATATAAGCCTGTTGGTTATGCTCTCATTTACAGCTCAAATGTCTCTTCATCTATGGTCCACTTCAAACATAGTTTTGGTCTATTCTAAGCATTAGGTGTCTGAAGACTATTAGCGTTTAATATTCAGGGCTTGACTGAAAAGAGACGGACCCCTTTAACAACGCTCAGCCTGGAACGACACACAGGCTTCGTCTCAAAATCTAGTGAGCTGCCTACCTAGACAACATTTTTGGTGTATTTAATCGCGATTTTCCCAGCACATAAAGTTTCTAAAACGTGATGGTCACATTTTTAACTACAGAGTCAAATTGTTTATTTGCTCAGCAAGACTCAATAGTAAGTTGGAAACAATAAAGTAATATTTTAAGAAAATTGTATTATTTTACATTATTTACTTTTTCTTTAATATTAGAATACTTTGAAATGTTGTTATTAAAAACAGACATCACATCTGTCTCTGTCTACACCAGCTATATGTACAAATGTAAAAAATGAAATCTAGACAATATATACATTAATTTATAGTTCAGAACTTGTGCAAAATACATTAACATTCAAACTAACAAATACATTTTTGGTTACAAATGTTGAAGATGGGACTAAATGGGTTACATTCAAAAATGCTGTAGGACACTCACTAGGCTTCAATACAGTCACGGACAGCTCCTGGTGCTGACTTACAAACATACAGACATACAAAGCCTACTTATAAAACACAGATAGAATGAAATCCAGAAGTTCTCTCTCTATATATTTATAATATCATGTAACTATATATGTCATCCTATAATTATATTTCTACCATATTAAGAGTTTACACAATATTGTTAGGCCGTAAACCTTTGATCTTTTCATTACACTGTCTCTGTGTTCTCACAGATGGCTGCTACGCAAGACAACAAACAGAAGGAGAACTCTGATCAAAACTTTGATTACATGTTCAAGTTGTTGATCATTGGGAACAGCAGTGTTGGCAAAACATCTTTCCTCTTCCGGTATGCTGATGACACTTTCACATCTGCATTTGTCAGTACGGTGGGCATCGACTTTAAAGTCAAAACTGTCTATAAGAACGACAAAAGAATCAAGCTTCAGATCTGGGTAAATTCTCTCTCGTTCACATCGAAATGGCAATGACTGCAAAAACCACACACTTTAACTTTTAGACTTTAAATCTAATTATGTCCCCACTGGATGCAACAAATGCCTAGTTTATAATGGGTTTTAATGTTTTTGTCTCGTAGCTCCGGCCGGACAGGGCATCACAATATGGTAGGGGTGTAACATTTCCGTCACACGCTTGAGGTATTCGGCCAATCACAACGCACTGGATAGCTGGCCAATCAGAGCACACCTCGCTTTTTCAGACCGATTAGCTTTGTAAAAATCTACGCGTTTCAGAAAGGCGGGGCATAGAGGAGAAACAATAATGTACAGTATGTGGAAAATAATGTGTTTTTAACCTTAAACCGCATAAACACATTTCATTAAACCAAATACACAAAATAATGTTCTTTTTAGCAGCATCATATGCAGACCCCTTTAACTCAGCATCAATGTTTCATGGTTGGTAAAGCACTGAAGGGTTGGATAATCACATATGGTGCAATGTAAACATCACATGGGCTGATGATTAACATTGGCTTATGGAAAGAGAACATAAGCCATTGTCACCTTATCTAAGCCTTTAAGTCAGCATCAGCAAAACTGATCTGTTCATCAGATTGTGGCACGCTTTTCTATTTTAGTCTTTCAGTGAAAGTGCTGCTACTTTTAGAGGTGACAAACCGCTTCCTCGATCAGTTCTCAGACTCAAGCGCTCATTCATTTCACGCATTTGTTGTATTGACTCTATCTGTATGTCCCAGACTAAATTAAATGAATAATTCATCATAAAATAAAAACAGGCTGAAAATGTACTCACCCTCAGGCCATCCAAGATATAGATGAGTTTATTTCTTCTTCGGCACAGATTTTGAGAGATTTAACATTACATCACTTGCTCACCATTGGATCCTTTGCAGTGAATGGGTGCCGTCAGAATGAGAGTCCAAACAGCTGATAAAAGCATCACCATAATCCACACGACTCCAGTCCATCAATTAACCTTTTTCACAGGAGAAAGCAATATTATGAATGGAGCAATGATTTGAAGTTAAAAACCCCTTAGTGATGGATTTGTTTGTTACAAACATGCAGCTTTTCGCTTTACAAGAAGTTAATTGATTGGAGATTATTGTGATGTTTTTATCAGCTGTTTGGACTCTTATTCTGACGGCACCCATTCAGAGGATCTATTGGTGAGCAAGAGATGTAATGCTGAATTTCTCTAAATTTGTTTTGATGATGAAACAAACTCATCTACATCTTTGATGGCCTGGGGGTGAGTAAATTTTTAGCAAATTTAAATTTTTTTGGTCAAGTATTTCTTTAACTCAGTCACCTCTTGTAAACCTGAATTCATAATACATGTAGGTATGCACCTTTTTTAGACTACTTTACTACATGGAATAATGCCTATTTATTAGGACACAGCCGGGCAGGAAAGGTACAGGACTATCACCACTGCCTACTACAGAGGGGCCATGGGCTTCATCCTAATGTATGACATTACTAACGAGGAGTCTTTTGCTGCCGTACAAGACTGGTAAGTGGACTTTAAATTTTACATTGTGCATTATGACAGCCAGAGTGTCTGCTTTCAACAGAAGTATTCACAAGCTTTCAGGATCACCACCGTGTGGGTTTGCAGAGGTGATCCAGCAGTTTCCGTCCGCCTGATGGCGTGAGACATTCATGCCTGTCGATCCTGGAGTCAAAATCTATAAATGGAAGTCAGGAATCATATCAGGAACATTTTATAAAGTAGAGCACATTTAAAAAACGAAATAAAAAGTACAGAATTATTACTTAACCATGGGTTTGTGTTAAAACTTTACTAGATTTTTAGTGTCTAAGCCAAAACATAAGAATAAAACAGCGTTTAAATCAAATTTTACTTAAGTTTTATTTTGCTTTCAACAGAAGTATTCACAAGCTTTCAGGATCACCACCGTGTGGGTTTGCAGAGGTGATCCAGCAGTTTCCGTCCGCCTGATGGCGTGAGACATTCATGCCTGTCGATCCTGGAGTCAAAATCTATAAATGGAAGTCAGGAATCATATCAGGAACATTTTATAAAGTAGAGCACATTTAAAAAACTAAATAAAAAGTACAGAATTATTACTTAACCATGGGTTTGTGTTAAAACTTTACTAGATTTTTAGTGTCTAAGCCAAAACAAGAATAAAACAGCGTTTAAATCAAATTTTACTTAAGTTTTATTAGTAAAAAATAAACGTAATTCTTACGTCTTCTTAATCTAGCAGATACAGACTTAAAGGGATAATTAATGCAAAAATGAAAATGATGTAATAATAAATGAACTCGCCCTCATGTCATTCCAAACTTGTCGAAGAACATTGGTAACCAAACAGTTTGGTTACTATTGATGTCCCATGAATGGGCAAAATCTCACTTTTCTTAAAACATCTTCTTCTGTGTTCCACAGAAAATAGAAAGTCATATGAGTATGGAACGACATGAGGGTGTTTTCACATTGTTTAAAAATATAATTTCAATCATTTTCGTTTTATTACAAATTAAATGCAAATTCTGTCATCATTTACTCATTTTCATGTCGTTCCAGTGATTTTCCAGAAAGGAAATTGTGCACTGTATTTCAAGTCTTCTGAAGCCATACAATAGCGCTGTGTGACAAACATTTTACCGTTCCTCTAAATTACACAGGAGCGAGATTTATCTTGTTAGTTTAGTAAAATGAGAAATACTTTTTGTACAACATTTAAGTCATGATGACCTGCAAAATACAATACTATGTGTGTTTTTAAAGGAAATGGTATCACTTGAGTCAGGGGGCTCATGCACTCATTATTTTTGACCTGTTTATTCGAAACATTCCCAAACGCATTAACTATATCATGAATTATCTTGATTCTCATCTTTATAGATTATGTTCATCTATATTGGGCGATGGTCAAAGTAACCTAATAATGTAGTCTATTAACTATGCATAAAAAACTGCTGTTTACTTAATTAACAGATATGGGTGTCATGCCTTAACATATTTTTAATACGACTGACTTTATATTTAATGTGAATTCAACATTGAAAGTTAATGTGAATAAATACATTGCAAGTTAGGCTACTAATCATAACACTCTCATTGTACAGAAAGAGAGCAAAGAACATTTACATTATTAAAGAACATTTTCACTGACAGTCTAATTCAACCTCTCTCAAAAACTCCCATTAAATTCACTGAAGCTGTTTACACTATGAAATTAATATCTTACAGATTCGTACACACATTTGCACTTTGTTGTTTCTGACGAGAGAATTCGCCAGAAAGAGGTATTCAGTCAGTGAGCGAGCCAGTGAAGAAAACACCGGCATTTTAGCGATGACTCATCTGAGCACCTCTGATTGGTTTTTGCATTCATAAGCTCAACAGCATCGTGTGTGATTGGTCGCAGAATTTAGCAGCTGATGATATGATGCGCTGAACGTTCTAATCACGCAGGTGTGATTGTATTAAATATAGAAAATATTAATCAGCTATTTTTTGTCTTTTGGAAACTGCATTCAAAATCCACTTGGCTCAAAAATCTGAGAGGGCACGTGCCCCCTCACTTTGAATGGGCATGACGCCTCTGACTTGAGTACAAATACCCCCAAAATACACTGTACTAATTAAGTGCCATTACATCTCTGGATTAGAGAACACAAAGAACATGCTGCTGTAGAGATGAGAAACAGGAACAGAGAGGGGCATAATCTGAAGAAGTGTGTTCAACATGATGTTCCCATTGATTCCGTGTGGCATGATGACATATTCATACAATAAAACTGTCAAAAGTTTTGGTATGAGTCTGGCACATCTTGTGCTAGAGGATGTCTGCTCACTTTTTTCTCGTCTTGTGTCAGGGCGACCCAGATTAAAACATACTCTTGGGACAATGCCCAGGTGATCCTCGCTGGAAACAAATGTGACATGGAGGAGGAGAGGATAGTGTCTGTGGAAAGCGGGAGACTGCTAGCAGAACAGCTGGGTGAGATATATATAGATATATATTGTATTAGGGATGCACAATAATGTTTACCGATATACAATATGGCAATATTTTTCAACTCATTTTGGCCAATATATACAGTATATATATATATATATACAGCACCAAGTCTCTCCTGTGCAGAGATTATAAACATATTATTTTTAATTTTGAGCAAATACTTACTTGAGCATATGTATCTCAGAGAGATACAAGATATATAATGATAGTGTATTGTACACTATCAGTTGGGGTTAGAAAGATTTTTTTTGAAAGAAACTAATATTTTTATTCAGCAAAGACACAGTAAATTCATCAAAAGTGAAAGAAAAGATGTATAACATTACAAAAGATTTACATTTCAAATAAATTCTGTTCTTTTGAACTTTCTATTTATCAAAGAATCCTGGAAAAAAATGTATCACGGTTTCCACAAATATATAAAAAAACCGCTACTGTTTTCAACATCGATAATAATCAATAATGATGTCTCTTGAGCTTCAAATCAGCATATCAGTGATTTCTGAAGGATCATTTGACACTGTATTTCAGAATATAACCGTTTTACTGTATTTTTGATCACATAATAGAAGCCTTGATGAGCATTAAAAAAACATTTTAAAAACCTTACAGACCCATAACTTTTGAAAGCCAGTGTGTATTTCCTTTGCTTACCAAAAATCTCTCTTTCCGAAAAGGATTTGAGTTTTTTGAGATGAGCGCAAAGGACAACATCAACATCAAGCAGACTTTTGAATGCTTGGTGGACATCATTTGCGACAAGATTTCAGACACTCTTGAGGCCGACCCTGCTGTTACCACGGGAACGCCCACTACCAGACTGACGGACAACCTGACGCCCCCGCAGCAGTCTGACTGTAGCTGCTAGTGTTCACCGCCCAGGCCGTTCTCTGCTGTGGCTCGAGCGCTGTCGCCAAGCTTCTGTATTCTGACACAGAATAAGTTACTGAACCTCAAATCTTTGGCCTAGCTTCAACACCTAGTTTTTTGGTGTTAATGACATAGCAAACTAGCAAGATTGTGCCAAACACAAGTGTCAGACCTTGTCCTTCCTTTATGCCATCATACCAGAATACAGGTCTTTGTTCAGGGGTTGTTAGTGTACCTGTATCCCCTATACCGCAATATCTCATATTAGTCATTTTAGCAAAAGCAGAAATGAGTTGAACTTTAGATGCTCTGCAATCATTCCCATGTCTCTCAGGGGAATTAAAGACTCCTGCAAATTTATACATTTTACAGACTTGTCTAACTTATGTGTAACATATTGAGAGGATGTTGAATTTCCATTTTGCTGATGAGTCAGTTGGATCTGTTTGTGTGCGACTGTGTGTACGGAAAATGACTGCGAAAGCTAAAAAGTATGAGAAAAAATAAATGTGGCCTTGAAATGGTTATCTTGTCTAGATCCAGTCTTTCACATGGTCCCGTACAGAATCTGTATCTTCGTTCTTTTATTCAAAATAAAATAAAATAAAAATAAAACAAAAAGTCTGAACTGGGATTATTATAATAAAATAAAAACTAAAACCATAAAAAAATTGTTACTTGAAATAAACATTAACTGAAATTAATATACTTTTTTTTTTCAGATAGCTGCCAAGAAAAGATTTCATTTTCATCTAGTTTATCTTGATGTACTAAAAAAATTTAAATTTAATGAAAATGTATATATAAAATTAACTGATCAAAATGACAAAAACTATTAAAACTATTTTTTAAATGAAAACAGAATATAAAAACTATATACACATCAAAATTCATAGTATCTTAATGATAACAAAATAACACTGGTCTCAAAACTAAAACCATAAAAAAATTGTTACTTGAAATAAACATTAACTGAAATTAATATACTTTTTTTTTTCAGATAGCTGCCAAGAAAAGATTTCATTTTCATCTAGTTTATCTTGATGTACTAAAAAAATTTAAATTTAATGAAAATGTATATATAAAATTAACTGATCAAAATGACAAAAACTATTAAAACTACTTTTTAAATGAAAACAGAATATAAAAACTATATACACATCAAAATTCATAGTATCTTAATGATAACAAAATAACACTGGTCTCAACACACACACACACACACACACACACAATCAGATCAGGCCAAATATAACTTGAACAGTCCATCTCAAAAAATTAAATTTAAGAATAAAATAAACCTAAACAAATCATAGATTTGTTAATAGAGAGACTGCAGGTTATTTTCAGAGGAAACAAAAGACAACATCATAGAGTCAACCCATGCTTTTATTTTGGTGCATATAAAAAACATTTTTATTGGATTTTACCAGTTTTCATACGTAAATTTTTATTTCTACAGTTCTATCCAATAGACTGCGATAAACAAGGAGTCCAATAAACAACTACACGGTCTTGTGAAACCTCCAGACAAGTTTTGTCATTCAAGTCACATAACAAAAAAATAGTTATCCCTAAATATCATTTGTCAAATTCTGTTTGTGTATTTCTCTCATGATTTAAAAAGAGACGAGAAGGACGCACTGATTTCATCCATTTAGGGTCAATAAGAATCTACAGTATGTGTGTCAAAATGAGTCCCAAATTGAGCGTTTGGGCTTTTTGTGAAGGATCTGGAAATCAAAATGCCCTGTTATCCCCAAACAGAAAGATGTTTTCTCTCATATTGCATGAAACGCAAATGTCTTTGAATGTCTCAAATGAACACAGCATAGACGGAAATATGATGGAGGTTCTTACAGCTGGTTGCAAACCCAAACCCATCACACTGGCCCGCTTTTACCCTGTCCAATGTGGTCTGACAACTTTTGTCTATTTTTTTTTTTTTTAATGCTGGGAGCATTTATGCCACATAAACAGGAGGAACACGACAAACATCTAGGTCAATTTCCAGCCAGTAGTTTCTTTAGTGCAGCAAGAGGATAAAATCTAAAGAGCTATCTGTAAGGCACAACCCTCAGGCCACGGAACCACTTTCTTTTAAAAAGAAAGAAAGAATGAAAGTAAACACAGTAATGACTATAATTTGGCTTTCCCTTTCTCTACGCAATCTCTCTAGAGACACATATCAATGGGATCATTACATACTAAGAATAACAAACATTCTCTCAGTAAGAGTTCCATAATACAACACCATCACCAAAAGGGATGATATAATCACTTACAACGACATAAGATCAACAATATATACTATACAGAACAATAAATACATGTATGTAAACCGAGAGAAATGAGAAACAATGTAGAGAATGGAGACTTGGCAACAGAATGAGTTTTACATAGAATAAAGCAAGCAATGAAAAAGGGGTCTTTTCAAAAGGCTTCAATATTATATATAATTTTGTACATTTAAGTATATCTACTGCATATGTATAGTTAAACTATATTAAGGAAAACTGACTCGTAAGCCTGAATTGCTGATGCTACAAGTTGATTAAAACACTTTAATATGCTACAAGCACATCAAAGAGCATTAATAAATAATGCTAGCATGAACATAAAATGAAGAGGATGTTTGTACAGTAGGACAGGTCACAGAGATGAGTAAAGCAGCAATTAAAATCATTGCGACTGGTAACGTTTGGCGAAAATGTCCAAAATAAATACAATTAACAAAACCAAAAATACAATAAAAAAATTATAGTGCAACTAGATTCACACTTACAATGAGGCTTTGCATTGAGGCTGATTGTCCCGTGATCATGTGAAAACACAAACCGGTAAATTGAGCTTCTTCATTTATGTCACTTGTTTTCTGTTTAACTGGCCAGGGACATATGGCACCAAACAGCTATCAAACATTTCTGAGAAACTAATGAGGAGGGCCATCATAATAATAATAATCATTATAATAAATTAATAATAATTACAATAATTATTATTATGTATGAAGGGATACCCAGGATTCATCATTAACATGATAATAATTATTATTAATAGCATTATTATTACTTAATTACAATAATAATTCATATTGTTATCTATGAAGTGATGACCAGGATTCATTTTACTCCATTGCTTGTATGTTTTTGTACATTTTTGGTAGGCAACAAAACATTTAAGGCTTATTCAAGCTATTATTTTATAACAGAATTATGAGTTCTTGTTCTTGGGGGAATACAGTTTTAAAACATTGAAACATGGCCATAATTAGGTATTATTAATAAGCCGAGGAACTTATTGTTTAAAACCAAATAAGAATATTTTTTAAAATGAACCATTTTCAGATCTGGATTGGATGCAACAAATAAGGGTAAAAACAAAATAATAAAAAGATGTGCAAACTACCATATTTACCCCAAATATGGTAATTTAAATGAAAATGTGTATTGTCTGTGAAAATGGTGTCTCGCGAGTTCTTTTCACTTTGGTACCATGTCCATACGCTTCAAAGAATGCTACACAAACACAACAGAGAGCTAAATCCGGCCGGATTAATAACACATTCAAGGCATCAGGAAGACGTGAAGTTCAAAGCATGAAGTATTCACTCCTAGTGTTTGTCTGCAAAAATGCTTCGAATTGCCACTTTTCTTCAGATGAACAGGAAAAAATAGTGTCTCTGTGGTGAAAAAACAGCTGCTTTCTAAGTTCAATGTTTCTGAAATACTGTTTCAGTGAAAAAAATAAAATAAAAGTACCTTACGATCAGGAATAAAAGTCAAGCTTTTTAACCTTTCATTTGTTACGTTTGTTTGTATGAATGACAGGTTTGAGTGGAAAAGATATTCCTGAGTGTAAAAATGGTTGTAACTCAAAAAAAGAGCGAGGACTGAAAAATAAAATCAGGTTAAAGGCGGACATTTAAAAAAGCACTTTTGAACGACATATGTAAAATAGACAATGAAAAAAACTAGTATCTTAACCATAAATAAGTGTTTCTCATCTCTAATATAAAAAAGTTCAGGTGCCGTGTCATACTGTGTTATGTGCTGGCAGTGTCCTCCTCCTCCTCCTCCTCCTCCTCCTCCTCCAAAACACAGGGTTCTGATATTTCCCTTTCCTCCTCCTGTTCGTCCTCTTCCTCCTCCTCGTCCTGTGTGTCCCCCACCTGCTCGTCCAGGGGGATCTCTGTACATTCGGAGTCCTGTGTGCAAAGGGTTTTAGAGTCACTGCAGCTGTTTTCCTCCTCTTCTTCATCAGGAGGGCTGCCGCTGTCCTTCTCTGTGTCCGATTCTCCGTCCTCCTCCAGAGTCAGTTCAAACTGGAACTTCTCCTGGCCGGCGGTGCGTCGGCCCTCGCTGCTGGTGTCCAGCACTGGAGAGGGACTCTGGGGGATGGTGCTCTGGTACCACTCTCGGTTGTCCTCCAGTGTGTCCAAGATGTCCTGCGCGTCTGGGTGCACCAGGTCAGCCCATGTCTCCCACAGAGGGTGAACAATGTAATCGATGAAGCCCACCTTGGAAAAAAAAAGAGAAAGGAAAAAAATATTTTCAAATGTTTTTGAAAGAACGTTTGTATACAGTGCTGGACATATGTATTGGTACATTTCCTGGAAATATTTAGCAGAATACACAATATATTGAGTTCCACTGACATATAAGCAGCACAACTGTTTTCAACAATGATAAAAAGAAATGTTTATTGAGCACCAAATCAGCATATTAGAATGATTTCATGTGGATCATGTGACGCTGAAGACTGGAGTAATGCCTGCTGAAAATTCAGCTTTGCCATCACAGGAATAAATCACATTTTAAAATACATAACAAAAGAAAAGAAATTTTTTAAAATTGTAATATTTCAAAACATTCTATCTATTAAAATATTAATATCTAATAAATGCAGCCTGGGTGAGAATAAGAGACTTCCTTAAAAAACATTAAAAAAACAACAACTTCCAAACGTTTGAACTCTAGTGTATATTCTCAAAAATGTTAACCATTTGATGCATGAATTATTAAATCAAAAGAAAAGATATAATCTGTTTATTTTTTATTCTGTATATTATTATTAATTATGAATAATTAGTTGTTGTTTTTTTCAACAATATATTTTATATAATAATATTGTGAGCCATGGGATTTATGCGGTCATAGATAAATTATAATAAATAAAAGTAACAAGTACAAAGAGGACAGCCATGCAGAATTATAGGTAAGGCTAAAAGGTCATCACATGATAGAGAACATATTTAGAGAAAATAAAAAGAAATAATGAGTTAAATATAAATAAAAATATATTAGAAACATAATATAGACCTATATAAGCTTGATTATTTTATGTTTCATTATTTCATTTATCTTTATCTGCCCTGAGCTGGCTTACCTGGGACTTCTCGACTGATGCGTTGTGCTTGTCACACATGGGGCTGATCTCCATGCCGCGCTCCCGCTCTCTGTCCCCCTGGCTGAAGAACTCCTCCATGATGCGGTCTGTCCACTGCCTGTACAACTGCAGCGGCTTGGTGGGGTTACTGAGGTCTGCACAGTGCACCATGTTCTGCAAGACCTGAGATACAGTCAAAATCAGTCAGTTGCGCATTCACATTTATATTTACATTAATTTACATTGGGGTTGTGACGCTGAGGAAATTTTACCACCGGTTAATCCACGTGTGACAACACCGGTAATCACCGGGGGGTGGGGTTTCGTCGCAGTTTTCCCTCGTTTCCCTTTGCTTTTAAATAGCTTGTAAATAGCCGTGAACATTTTACTTTCACTTTCGAATTAGTCTCAATTGCTTGAATGTACAACAACAAAACGGTACAATGACAAATTCACTTATATAAACATTGAACTTATGTTAAATTACACAAAGTTTAATTAAAGTAAAATATTGTCAGACAGCTAGGTGCTTTTGCATTTTGTTTCAAAACTAAATCTTCCGCCATCATCTTGTCTGTCTCACCTCACTCTCCTCGTCGTTCAGCTCGACTCACTCTCCTGACGTGATTAATGAAATCGGACTCCTGCTGCTGATCTGTGATGCGACTGTCGTTCGGCACTCTGCACTGAGCAGCCACGTTCAGTTTTTAATTGTGGTGTCTGTTTTCTAACTGAACTAAATGATTTTTATTACTATAAAAAAATCAAAAAGACAGTGGTGGGCGGTGCCGCGGTGTGCAGTGATGTAACTGGTGTTGCAGCTTAACACTGGCAACACCGACTATCGCAGCAAGCGTAATGATCACATAACGATCATTGATCATCACTGATATCACATTTATCATATTCAAATTCTTCAGAGCAGAGGCTGTTAACCTTTTTTAGACCAAGGGACCCGCTATTCAGACTCCTAAACCATGGAGCTCCATGAAAAGCTGTAGCACTTTATAATAAGTTTCACATTGTTATCTGCAGATATTTATTAATATATTTTAAGTCAAAATATTATATCAATTATTAATATATAAATTAAATGTTTAAAAATTTAAGAAATGTATAATTACATATTTTTACTATATATATATAATATATAATGATATTTTAAATAAAATAATTGTATTCATATATTTTATGTAAAAAAATATTTTATAAATAAATACAAATATTAATTATGGCAAATAACAAATTTCCTAAATTAATTTTCTAAGTTAACAATAAAATTACAATATCTAGAATGCAATGCGAGTATAAATATAAGGACCAACCTGTATCCTGTCAGAGTAGTTGTCTAGCAGTAATACCCCAGAACTGGTCACCTTTTTGGTCTCCACCATGGTTTTCAGATCTGCCAACAAATTCATGTGCTTAGACATGTCAGTGGCCAGAACCTGCAAAAAAAAGATGGATGATCATCAGTTTCAGCTGGAGAGAAAGAGGGAAATTTACTGGCCCTTTACACCTCTTTTCACATATGTAAAATGAAAGTTTAGTTCCATAATACAAAAATCAGTTTAAAAACAGTCCAGTGTGATAATAGCTAACTTAGAGACCAATGACACACATAACATTGTGACTCACAATGTCAATGACCATCTTGCGAAGTGACTGTCTCTGTTTCTTGGTCAGGTTCTGGAAGATGTCACAGTTCTCTTCCTGCAGCAGTTTAAAACCCACAGCCAGATGATGATTCTCCAACACAGACGAATCATTATACATGAGGGCCAGCTCAGAGTCTGAGAGGAGAGAGGTATGGGAGAGAAAAAAAGAGGAAGCACAATTAATTCTATACTGTACTAACTCGACAGCTCTTGTATTTGTAATTCTTGGTGGACTTTCAGTGAATAACAACCTACATTTGTAATTTCAGTTTGACAGAAAGCTACAGTTTTGCTTCAGAAGAGCGCACTTTCATGATACTTTCATTGTGCTTTTTTGGAGCTTGACCTTTCAGAACTGTGTAAATATTCATCAAAATGTCTCGTTTAGAGTGGCTAAAAACAGCAGCATACAGGTATGGAACAACATGCATCCTCCTCTTGTTTTCAAGTTCATGCTGAGCTTGTGACAAGCCACACTGGTCCCTCCATTAGTCACTGAGGGGATTTGACCAGCTGTGTGGGTGGGACACGTGAGCTGTGCGAATCACCGACACATGTAGCCCACCAAGCACATGCATCCATAGCATGTGAAAATCACCCGAATGACCGCTTGCTGCACGTGACAACAGCTTAAACAAGTATTGATTCCTCTTTGTGTGGGTCTGCTACTTTGAACAACCGTGATTAAGCTAAAAGTGTTTCTGACAGCTGTGAAAAACATTGCACCCATGTTATTTGAAGGAAGCAACGTGATGTTCCTTTGCGTGATGTTCATATGCTAGAGCTAGAGACTTACTAGTGTTAATGAGAAACTGGTTGGAGACGCCAGGATGGTCAACATCATGTATCGCACTGGCAAATATGGCAGCGAGAATTTCAAGGTCTGTAAACACAGCCTGAAAATAACAGACACAGAAAGATTTTCACAACCTAAAAGATAAAGATAAAATTTCACAACCTAATCCACTTTTTTAACACCCAACAATCAGAAGAAACAGCATTGCATACTGGGTCAGCACTATCATACCTCAAGGGCAGGGGTTGATAACAGGACGTGAGTGGACTGTGTGACATCAGCAGCGTGGATGTTGCTGTGATAGGCAACGTCAGCATGGTAATGGTCCTCTAAAGTCATCAGATAGGTGATAAACGTGTCCAGGGGGATTTTAAACGTCTTTAACAAGTCCCTCTCCTACAGCAGAAAGACAACCCGCATGGTTTTTCCCTTGTTAGCAGGAGCAACTTGTAAAGAGACATTAAAGCAAATTTGAGCTTGAGGGAACAAATGCTTTAAAAATGTACCTGGAATATTGTGTGCATCATAACCGTTAAAGGTCTGTTCCCAGAAAATTCTGACACTTTGAAGACATTAAGGCCCCATTTATTTACATCTTCAAGCTCCTGAAGTTACACAAAGTCAAACACATATAGTTAGATTTCCTATATTTAAGTTTTCTGTAAATCTCTCTGTATTTACAGTCATTTCATTTTATATACCACCGTTTAAACGTTTGAGGTCGGCAAGACTTTAAGTCTCTTATGCTCATCAAGGCTACATTTATTATATCAAAAATACAGTAAAACAGTAATATTAAAACAATTTAAAATAACTTTTTTCTCATTTAATATTTTAAAATTTAATTTATTCCGTTGATGCCAAAGCTGTATTTTCAGCAGTCAATATACCATTCTTCAGTGCCACATGATCCTTCAGAAATCATAATAATATGCTGATTTGGTCCTCAAAAAAAAAAAGCTTAATATTTTTGTGCAAATAGTGAGATATTTTTTCAGGATTCTCTGATGAATAGAAAATTCAATAAAACAGCATTTATTTAAAATAGAAACATTATCAATATTTTTACAGTCACTTTTTATATATTTAACATCCTTGCTAAAAATCATTAATACAAACCACAAAAATCGTATTGCCACTGAACATTTGAACAGCAGTGTATTTAAAAAAATTATTTAAGGCTTTATTATTTTATAAAATTAATTATTCATTATTAGTTTATATATATATATATATATATATCAACATATTTTGGTGAACAAATATTTTGTACTGAGAAATTAGGAACAACATGCATTAGAACTGCTGTAATGGAAGTGGACAGGATTGCTCCAAAGTCCAAAGCAAGAAAGAGGAAAAGTAGTAAAAATATTATTTATTATTATTTTATATATATATATATATATATATATATATATATATATATATATATATATATATATATAAAGATTACCTTGGCTAGCTCATCTTCTGTTTCAGTTTTAACCCCAAACCGAGGGATGTTATAGTTGGTAAGGCTGGAACTGTGCGTTAGCTTTTTTACACCACTAATCTGGGACATCGGCCTTTTCTTCTTCTCCTTGTCTTTCTGGGACTGGGGCGATGGCATTTCCACCTCGTGTTGCTTGTCTACAGGAACAGAAAATGCTCAGAGAAGGTTCGAGAAATCAGGCGCTCATGGGTAAAAACACATAATGTGCCATTACAGCCACTGATTTGCAGTTTTGTAAAAGAATGGTGGGCTATGGTCATTTAATGGTCTCGCTTGTGGCTGATTATTTAGCTACACAACCATCAGGCTACAGAGCTGGTGTTGACCTGCTTTTTGCTCATAATCAGCACTTCAGTTGTCCTAGTTCTCTGAGTTACCCCAAAAATTTCACATAGCTGCTCTCCTCCAGTCAAAATGCTTTTCCTCTTGACTCCTTTGTTCATTTAAAAATGCAACGCATGTTGCCACATGACATTATGGTGTTATTATACACCGTAAACATCCATATTTAATTTTTATTATAGTTTTTGAGGGACACTCACCTAAGAATGTACTTGAGATGAACTCAGACACCTGGTTACCAGATCGGCTCATCTCTGATAGGTGAGTCAATTCTCTGTTCAACATCCTCTTGAACTGTTGAGAGATAAACAATGCAAATTATTATCATTATTATTCTTCTTCTTTTTGGCATTTAGACCCGTTTTGTGTGGGAAAAAAATATGGCTTGTTTTTGAGTATCCACTATAAAGGACCATCTGTATGGAAAAACTGGGGGGAGGAAATAAATAAATATAAACAAATTAAAAAAGTAAAAATATCTTGTGTGGTGTTGTGTAATATGTTCGCGCTATTGTTCGAAACACCCCCACTTTTATTTACTGCTGTAGACGCCATTTTACCTTTTTTTTTAATCACTTAATGGATTTTGCCTTGTCGGCTGTGTCGCTATCGGCAGATTCACCATGGTTTCAAGGCTGAGTCCTCCAAACAACCCAAAACATATGAATCCTCTCAGACTGTTAAGAATGTCAGGTCAAAATGACCTACTGGGTCACACCAGATAGACGCCACAAAACAAAATACCCTTTTCCCCATTTCTAACAAGATTTGCAGGCACAAAATGGAGATGAAAACTGCCGCATGCTTGAAAATAAACTCACAAATGTGTACAAACAAACTACTAAAAAAGCCAAGCGACAGCACATGATGTGCTGGTGCTTTATATAGTAGTTTGGGTTTAGACAGTGATAGATCCTAGACACAAAAAAAAACTAATAAGGCATAGGGCTTTTATGTACAGTAATTTTGTTGAAATACGCTTTTTAAATATATATAATATAAAAATACAAAAATGCCATATCGGTCTTAAATATCTGTCGATCGTCCTGTTTTTATGCAACCTGTGTTCTTTGTGTAACCACATACTGAACACCAGCATTTAACAATAGCATCCCATCCAACCTCAATCCAATATAAGAATATAAAATTTCATGATTGATTATCTTACCTTAATGTATCCCCAAGAAACTGACAGCAAATAATTTGCCTCAGGCATTTTGAATGAGTAAATCCAGATAGCAGATGAGATTAGAAAACACTGGCTAATAGGGAAGACAAACACAAACTGCTCTGCGAGACGATCTCAAAGCTCCATTTATTTTTTTAATCCACCCGTACTAACATTGTGATTTTACGCTAAACGCCATCTGAAAAGTCCAGAAATTCCAGGGCATTCCTTGCGATGGCTGACTCCATTGTTAAGAAACCTGGCAAGATTCCATCTAAGACAGAGGAGGGCATGAAGAAGCCACGGCATTGCCTGATAGAATCTATCCGTGAGCTGCGCACTCAAACCAAATGAAAAATGCCTGTGCCTTGGAAGGAAAATATGCCCAGTTAACAGCTTCCCAATAAGGCTGTTTTTACCCAATCATTCAGGTGAGAGTCTCTGACTGCAGCTCTGCCAATCAGGCAGCTCCTCGAGATTAGAATGAGCTCATCGCTGCAGCCGATTGGCCGAGCTGAGCTCGCATGTAAATCCTCTGGGAGTGCTTCCCTCCTCAGGACCCCTCCCACTTCACCCTCTGGATGTCTGCAGCTCAGATGGAGGATGTGTTTCTTTGTACGAGAGCTCTTTAAAACAGCAGATAGCTCCCCAAAAGGGCACACAGTCATTATGTGTGGTTTGGATTCATGCGTGTTCACGTCATGTTTGACTATGCGCATATGTGTGCGGAGAGATGTGCGTGTGTGTGTGGAGGGGTGAGGTAATCTTCATGACATGACGTGATGTTTGGAAGTGGACATTGTGTCAACCAGACTCATAAAATATTCAGTGAAGTTCATTCACATAAATCCACAGAGGGGAGTCAATGGAGAACATATGTCAGATGAACAAGAACAAAATAAACCGATGACGCTGTGCTAGATTTGTCCTGGTAAATTGTTAATGAGCGCTTGAATAAAGCAAAAGGTATGCTGGGAAATGTGCCATTTTATGCTTTTACCGACTTGTAACTGGTCAAAAAAAAGAAAAAGAAAAAGTTTCTAAGGGCTAAACAATAACATTTTTCCACTGGTCCAGTAGTTCACACTTTTTAACTAGCCCTGCCCTATGGCAAAACTACAAGTGACACTTTTAAATTAATTGTAATAAATATAATATTAATTGTATATTAATAATAGTAATAATTATCTTGTGTTGGCTATATGTTCCCTATATGCGTTCACTCCCCATGTCTAGTCCCTGTGTGCCTTGCCCTTGTTTGTTGCCATAGTTAGTCTCATTAGCTGTTATGACAGTTAATTAACCACGCCCCTTGCTATATTTAATTTATAGCTGTCATGGAGCAAAGCTTGTATATTTATTTGAGTACACAATCATTTAATTTGCTCCATGACGTCTATAAACAATGCATCTCCCTATTCTCGCATATTTATCAGCAGAATTTTGTTATTTTTGCAAAAAAAAAAAAAAAAAAAATTTAGGTATTTAATGCACTGTAATACAATAAAATGTAATAAAATACTACAATTTGCAAGTCATAAAAAAAACAGCAATCTATATGCAATATCACATAAATATGGCCAGGGCCTGAAGTATTTAGCCAGATAACACTGTTACAGACTTCCAATGGCCTACTATCCAAAACCACACAGTACCCTGAGAGCAAGTACCTGTAGGCCTCGTACATTTTTAGAAACATGTCACTGAGGTATTGTACCAAAACCAGTGTCTTTACACTGAACTGGTGGCAAAAGTACGTACTGCATATCAGCAAATAAAGAGCTGAGGCAGTGGAGCTGACAGAACATGGTCAGGGATTATTTCACACTTCTGGTCCCGGTGTACCACTAGGGTGATGCTAAGTAATTTGCAGCTTTACTGGAGCAGATGAGCTGATGGTAATAGGCTGTTGCAGGTCCGTGTGGACAGAAGTGACTGTGTTTCTATTGTTGGAACATCTAGAGGGTGTTAAAACATGTCTCCCAGCAAAAAATGGAAAGATATCACACAATTTGTAGCTGTGATTCCCTGAAAATGTGTTTTCTGGGACAGTGGCCTAAATAATGATTTGTTCCTGAATCCATCCCTCTAGTCTAATAATATGCCTTGTAGATCAAAAGCAACATTCATTACTTTATTATAAACTGTGAGCTCAAAATAACAATGTTGAGGTCAAAAAATTATTATTCTAATATAAACGGCACATTCTATTTCAGCAGACTAAACAACAACAACAAAGCCACTGAGCTTTCTTTGATGCAGTACAATTATGCATCAAGTCGTTGACTTTTCATATATCTCCAATATCTTTAACATGCATACAGCTTTGAAAAAGGGCATTTCTCAGATGCAAATCAAATGAGCAAATAATCAACAATACAAAAATAAATATTACTAAAAAGCAGATCAAATAGTATATTCTGTAAACTTGACCTTTTCCTAAAGTGACACTGTCCAAAAAAGTGAATATTAATCATATATAAAATAAAATAAAAAAAATAGCATGAAATTAAAAATAAATAAATGAAAATGTTGACATAAAATGTTTTTTACTGCATTATTGTAGATATTTTTGAAGCATTAGTTTGACTTTGTTCTGACCTGGTTTTAGCAGTATATAGTTAATATATATATATATACTCCCCCCACCAACAATTCCTGCCGGACCTGAGACTCGAAACCGCAACCTTCAGGTTACAAGTCTGACTCTCTAACCATTAGGCAGAATAATAACTATATATTCACAATTTACATTTATATATTCAAACTCACAACTATATTTTCGGATTTAATTCTATTTATTCAAACTTTCAACTATATATTCAGATTAATTTATAAAAATATATTCATGATTTGCTTTTATATATTCAGTTTTTTATCTATATATTCAGATATATATATATATATATATACACACACACAGTGGGTACGGAAAGTATTCAGACCCCCTTAAATTTTTCACTCTTTGTTTGGCACTGTATATATTCAGAATTATAAGTACATATTCAGAATATACATTTATATATTCAGACTTAAAATTATTTACATTTTTATATTACAATTTGTATCTATATATTCAGACTTATAACTATATATTCGGATTTACATTTAGTCAGATTTAAAAATATATATTCTGATTTACTTCTATATATTCAGACTTATAACTATATATTCTGATTTATATTTATATATTCAGATTTACTTCAAAATATTCACAATTTTCATTTATATATTCAGATTTTATATAATTATTTCCTGTTTGGCGCTTCATTATACATATCTATAAAATAAATATAATTAATACTACTTATATATACTTATATACTTAATTATAAAATAATATTGTAATATAACTTTTTATTATAATTAAATGTATGTAAAATATAATCCAAGTCATTATTGTTGAGAGTTCTGCTTGAAATTCTCTCTTACAGAGTAATCCCTATAGCTAATAATGAAATTTTAGTTATAAAACAGATCTAAATTGAATTCTTATGGTGAAATAGATTTGATGTTTTTCTGTAATTGAAATGGAAGATGTATTCAAGTATTCACCCAGGCTACTATGAACATTGACTGCTAATAAATCACAAGAGCAATGGCAGCTGGACATCTCTACACAACTAAAAAAATGTTTTTCAGAAAAGATTAGCTATTTCTGTTTTGAAACAACACGAAAACAGTCATATTTATAACAGTCCAGTAGGATATAACACTTGCGTGGCGACTGTGAGGCAGTTGTATACGGCATATGCCACTATTGCTATTGAGCTAAAGCAACAAAGCAAACTGACAGGTCTTGTGCGTTTCCATGGATACTGGGTATTGAGGAAGAAGGGGGGGGGGGGTGTTCTGTCCAGTGAGACGTATGAAAATGTGAGTATTTGACACTTCTGTTACTTATGTCTGGTCACCGCTGTCAGACCTGTAGCCTGGTTGTCTAAGAAATATTAGAAGCATCTCAAATCTTCGTTTATTAAGAGGTGTTTTGGCCAAGTGGACTAGACGGGATACACACTACAGGCTGATTAGCATGCTGTATGTGTACTAGGGCCTAGCTGGAGACTGTGAGCATGAATGACGATTCTCCTGCTGTTATTGCAAACAGTGCACTGCTTAAAAGACACCAAAGCATGACAATATAGTGACACTCAATTATCTAAATCAGTTTATTTTTCAAAACAACTAAATACTTGAGCTGACTGCCGTTTTATTAAGTTAATCATCTCATGCTTGTGTTTAACCCAATTGACAAGGCTACAGTCACAGTATGATTAGGTCTACCAGAATTCAACAAAAAACATTTGTGACAACATAAGTCTTAAAATGGTCATTTGATCTTGGAGGCACTATAACATATATTGTGCACACTTGCAAAATAACCTAAAACAGCGTACAAATAAAATTAAATAAAATTAAATAAAAAAAACTCCACAATATGTGCCCCAATTGTGATTGTGAGTGGAAATTGAAAACCTGAGATACAATAATTGCACTTCATCAAATTGTAGAACTGTCACGGGGAATCCTAAACAGCAAAAAATGAACATAAGACACCTAGATCTTCTTACCTTGTTGGATGCCATCTCGCTGACTGAATGCCTGGTTTGTAGGGTCTCAAGCTGGTCGAGGCACCAGTCCAGCTCCTCCAGGGTCTCTGTGGCCAGTTTCTGGGAGGCCTCCTCTGGAGGAAGAGAAGGAGGCAAGGAGTCAGATCTCAGATGCTTTAAGGGTCTAGCTGAGGCTCCCAGCAGAGGGCCCAAACTGCTGTAGACCGCCATGGTGGGATATCCCGACAGAACGCATGGGTGATTCTTCATGCTGTGCTGAAGCCCTCCACAGTGAATGATGAGGCCCCAAATCGAGCCAAAAAACAAGGTTTCCAAAAACACCGTAATCCAAATCTGGCACCGTAACGACAAGGATCAGGAGTCAGATCTTGTGAAAAGCGGGGAACACTATATTCCTTAAGAAAACATACAAAGAGGCCACACAAACCAACACTCACACCGCTCACAAACAAGACGACAGTCAGTCGTACAACACTCGACTGCAGAATCTATAGTCCTACATGTCAAGGAGCCTGGAGTGAAACCTCTCATCTCGGGACAGGGAGAATGTCATTGCTGTGGGCAGGCCCATCACTGCGTGACAGATGCCGGTCTACATCCAAGAAGCAGAGTAGCGTGCTGTGGCCCTTAGGAGCATGCGATTCGACCCATAACATAGCACACAGGCATAGTGTCATAACAATAACACACACGTATACTCGCTCATACACTCATACGAGCACAAACGCAAAGCATACGGAGAGCTGACGCCAACAGATGAGTGACTTGTTCCCGTTTCCAATCCTTAAGCTGAGCTGCCGCAAAAGAGAACAAAGGTGCTCGCATCTGCCTGCCCTCTTTTCTCAGAGCAGTGGATGCCCTGCACGAGCACGGGGCAGCCGTGGAGCGTCGCTAGCTGAACGTGAGCCGAGCTTCCTCTTGAAACAGAAGCCTAAAGCCTGGCAGTGTTGCTGCATGCAGGAGAGAGAGGACTTCAGCTAAAACCTGACATGAACTTTACAGGATTCGGAGAATGAGGAGCTCAGGTCCTTCACAGTTGACACTCTGAGAAAGGCTAGAGGTGTCCAGTGTGTTTTTGTTCTTGGAGAGGATGCTTTAAGATTTGTTTATAAAGATGACAAATAATTTAGTGCTCAAATTGTGGTCAGCATTTCAACTTTGCTGAGATGGGACTATTAATGACATTCAAAATGTGTGCTGTTTTCATGATTTTAAGGAAATTTGCAAATGTCTGCTGCATGTGTATTTTCGAAAAGGTTAAGATGACCATATGAGGGCATAAAAATAAGCGAAACAAAATAACAAAAGACTTACAAAACAGACGTCAGTGCAGCTATTCTAGACATGTTGCTTACTGGAAGCAACTATAAAAACAAAGCAAGACAGAATGCATGTGCCACATGTACACTCCTTTAACAAAGCACACATTTTCTTATTCATTGCCTCTCTGTGTGTGTCTCTCTCTCTTTCTGCATCTGTGGTGAAGTACTCAGGGCTGGGGTGCCACTTTCTCTGAAAGCGACTGCACTGACGTCAATGACATTCTTCTCATGCTTAGCACGACATCATACACCAGCCCATGAGAGGGCACTGGCTCCAATGACAGGAGAGCTGTGGCGAAAAGCTGGACTGGATTCCTCCAATCTGGGTCACAGGCTCTTACTACCTTGTGAGCAAAGAAATCCTAATCAAAACATTTGAGGATTTGTTCGGATACACTAGAAACCACCAAAAAATACCTTAAAAGCAATAGCTAAAAAATTAATGTCTCTTCTAATCCTGTTTGATCACATCTTTATTCTCCTAATTGTGAGCAGAATTTGTATAAATTATATAAAATGTATAAATTTGTATAAACTTAACTGGGCTTGACTAAAATGCAACTGAATGCAAGTTTTTTTTTTAAAAATGTATTATTATTATTGAACAGTGTTTATAGAGTTGTCTTGTCGCTATGTGGATTCTAAATAGTTTGGGGTGGATTTTAGTTCCAGGGAGTTTTTTTTTTTTTGAATGTTCATATGCATTTTCTGCAGCAGCGGTTTTCAAACGGCCACAATAGGCACTCTAAATACTTTTGAATTATTAATCATTAATTTGCATTAATAATATTTTCTGGATAATATTTAAAGAATTTTTTTGGCTTCAACACAATGACAACGTAAATGCCTTTTTTTTTTTTTTTTACATAACATGACACTTTTCTTACACTTAAAATATATAGCTGACTTTATATTTTAGGAAGCAGATTCGTCACAACTAGATTACATTTGAGTCCTTGGCATCAAAAAGTTTGAAAACCCCTAAATGCCTTTTTTTTTTTTTTTTACATAACATGACACTTTTCTTCCACTTAAAATATATAGCTGACTTTATATTTTAGGAAGCAGATTCGTCGCAACTAGATTACATTTGAGTCCTTGGCATCAAAAAGTTTGAAAACCCTTTTTTCTATGGTGTTCTGGGTTGCTACAGTAGATGGTTCCTTACTGGCCAAAGTAAAAAAAAAAAAAAAAAAGCACTTTTGCTACAGTAGATGGTTCCTTACTGGCCAAAGTAAAAAAAAAAATTAAAAAAAAAAAACGCACTTCCCTATGGTATTCTGGTTTGTAAATATGGCCCACATCCCTGCTTAAATGCAAGTCCATTAATCAATTGTTTTATTGTCTGCGCAAGTCTGATCACACTTCTTAACAAGCTGCATGATTTTAGGAATCACAATTAAACAATCCCCCACTAATTAGTCATTTAGGTGGCACTTTTATCCACAGCAACATCCAAAACACATATAAGAGAGATACCCTGAACAACATGAAGCGTCTTGCTAAAGACCAGAATGGTGATAATTTACAGATCACCCCTTTCAGGGATTTGATCCTTCTGGTGACCAAGTCATATCTTTAGCCACAGATATGTGAGCGTTATCATTCTATTCTACATTGTGGCAATCTGTCCAGGCAATCTACACTCAAAACCCATTAGGGTCTTATGACACTTTTAATGGTCACATGACATCTAAACTCAGCATGGGGAGTTAAATTGTATAATGTGTCCATTTGCTCACTGCCTCTAATACAAATCAATATTCCAAATCTATAACACTGGTGTTTTTTATCTCTGCAGCTGAACATTCTGCTCATGCTAAACATCCAGCAAGTGCTCTGTACTACAGTTCTAGGCCAAACACCTGCATCTCAAAACAAGCTTTTCTTTGCAAACCTTACAAATAGACCGGAAACAGAGGCTAATCGATACAGTGAGCAGTGCCTAATGATTATGGCAAAGCGACTCTCACATCCCAGGATGCTCTATAAAGCATGAACAAATAATTTAAGTGAGTAAAAAGTATCTTTAAACTAGGGCTGCACGATATATCGAAAATATCGAAATATCGCACATGTAAATATCGCGATATGCATATCGCAACGGCGTGCGATATTTGAATCATTTTAATAACAGGCTACTTAAATCAAAAAGTTGCAAAAGGTCAAAGTTTTAGTTTGACGCATATAGCAGAGAATTGCTTGCCGTTAAAAAGAGTTATTAAGTGCAATAGTTGCAGAAAACAACTCTTTGCCCTCTCATCTTGCTGTCTGACAGACTCACACCTGAAGCGCACACAGAGAGAGAACACAGAGTTGATTCGTCTTTCTCATCTCCTCCTCATATTTGAACCTGTCATACACACAGAATTATGTCAATAGTACCCGTCTCGACGATCATTCTCGTAAACGCAGTCAGTTATGTTTTAAATTAATGTAAACAGCTGAGAAAGAAATCGGATGTGTATCTTTATACTGGATCCGTGCAGTCGGATTTAAAGGGACAGCAGCCTATAAATACGTGCTGCTGAATATGTCACTAATGTTAACAAAACAGCCTATAACAAAGATTAATCTAAATTTAATTCATACAGTGAACACAATGAAGTGTTATTTTACACTTAATTATTAAATTTCTGTACCTGAATACTACTGTTTATTTTATCTATGCTTGTAAATTGTGTATTTGTTCTTTTTCCCCCCTTTTTCTTTATTTGTTTTACTGACTGTTCACTTGCCTTTAATCATGTTTGAACTTTCTCAGACTATAGTTTTTGCTGTGGTATATGAAGAAGTACTTAAAGTGTATGGAAAGCAAAGTCACAATGATATAAAATTAGTGTCATTCATTTTTTTTGTCATTCACATTGATGTTAAAATTTAATTTTTTGATTTGTGACATTTCTTTTTATGTACTTCTAAAAAAAAATGCTGGTCACTTTCAGAAGTTGTAGTGATTCTTTCTTTTCCAAGAAACAAATTGGTTATATAATTTTCATTTTTAAATATTTTAAAATATAACAAATAGATTTTTCACACTTTAAGCAATATCGTATCGGATTTCGCATTTTTTAACAAGGTATCGCGTATCGCATTTTTTTTCAATATCACACAGCCCTACTTTAAACATTTAATTTGTGCATAGAGGTTATTACGACGTATTATTTAATTTTTCTTATCAGCTTCAGAGTACATGCTGGTATAGACAAAACTGAAGGTGCCACACAAAGATAACATGATCCGTCATATCAGACAGTGCCTAACAGTTCTCCACAAATTAAAATAACCCTTATCCTAACACAAAACAAACTGAAAAGCTCAGGAAAAATGCTCTTTACAGTATATCATATATCTGATCAAATGTAATCTCTATAATAATCTGTTTTCAAAAACATTCAAATTTGCTTTTGATAATTGAAATAAAATAAAATAAAATATTACATGAAAAATTTTAATGAAAATAGAAGTGGTGCCTTGGAAACTAACTGTTTTATTTAAAGTATTAAAATGACAAAATAAAACTGGAATAAAAATAAATTAAAGCTATATAGAAATATATAAAAAAAATGAATCTAAAACCATTAAAAATGACAAAAGCACATATAAAAAAAAAAGAAAACTGAAAATATAAAAATAAAAGTTATTTCAAAATGTTAACAAATACTATATTAATATACATTATAAATAATACTAAAATAACACTGATGTTAAATTGGCATGGCAATATTTAAAATATAGAAAGTAAAGATACGACACCTGTGTAGGAGGTCTTTGTGATGGGAGGCGGGTTACACATGGGGGATCTCCTGGTTGAAAAAATTAAAAATAAACAATTTGTTAATGTGTATGATGAAAACAACAGTAACACAGATTGATTGTTGTTAGAAAATTTAAACCATACAAATTCTGCCAAGATTAGGTGTCATGACAAAAATGCGTGCATTTGAATATTTTAAACTGAAAGCACTTACTTGTTATTGGGCCTTTCCTGTTGTACATTTGTTAAAGCAGCAAAATTATTCCGGACAGTCCTTAAACTTGCCAGAACCTAGGAAAAGACACAAAAATTTGTTTTATAAAATGTGTTTTATATTTTTTGTAATGTTGTCAAACCATCTGCTTTTAAACTTATTTTAAATATTTAATATTGCAATACCTGTGCAAAAGGGGTAACGATCATGTCATCACCGTGTCTGCAAAAAAAGGAAAAAATACTAATAACAACCGCACAAAATTTCTCTTATTTTCACATAGGGCTGGGCGATATGTTCGATATTGATAATTATCACGATAAATGTCAAATTTTTATTTCTTTCAAGTTTAAAGCCAGATTTTTGCTCCAAAGTGAAAGTTGTAGAAACCAGACCATTAATTCTTCTTAACAAAATAAATATCTAAATAGAAAAATTTATTTCTTAGTTTCTGCATGTTCTAATGAGTGATATTGTTTCAAATCAAGAAACAGGTTTGGGTTGCCTGATAATATTAATAATAATAATATCACTTTTTGTCTCTTAGAAATGCACATTTGATAGTAGCTTGAGTTAGGATGCAGAGGTAAATTTTTGTTCATTATCAAAATCAGTAACATCTGTAAAAATTTTAGCAACCTCAGTTTTATATGGTTAAATTTATTCTGACCAAGTTTTTATTTATTTATTTTTTTAATTAAGCATTGGTCTCCCACAGTAGCATACATTTAAATCATGATAAACACAGTTAAAACCACACATATAGCACCTCAATACCATGGTAAAAATATAACTATATGGTTTTTAGGTAGCCTATTTGTATGAAAAACAGTAGTCTAAAAACATTCAGTATAAATGCACACATGATATAGCTTAATCACAAATACATGCTACCATTACATGCCACCAAATACATAGTATATACCATTATTCTTTTAATAAAATTCAGTGTGAATATCCCAAATTTCTGCCACAATACCATGGTGCAGTGAATGTTACTACAGTAAATCCATGGTAAATGATGGTGATTTGTAGATTGAAAAGCCTTCTGACTGTCTCGTTCGTTGCACACAGTGTTTCTCCTGTTTGTCTTTAAACTAGTTTAAATCAGTCATTTGTGTTCATCGCTGAATGCAAGCACTGGATCTCACAGCACTGCTTAATGCTCGCGTGACCGAGTAAACACATCTGCTCTAGTGAGCTCGCGCCGGCGGCAGTTTGAACTTTGATCCAAGTGGATAAACGGTCCGTGTGGTGCGAATCAAATGAGTCGCACTGTTTCGCATAAACATTATATCGAACTCTTCATATCGTTTCATCGAGGAAAATTATATCGCGATAATTATCGTTATCGAATTATCGCCCAGCCCTATTTTCACATAGTATGTACAATTTATTAAAAAAATTTGACAACTGCAGTTTAATCTACTTGTAAGCTATGCCTTTGTCTCCCATTTATGAATAAAACATGCACATTAATAAAAAACTTCTAAATGCCACTAAACCGGTTTCTGCACTTAAAAGAGACATTTGCTCACATGTCACTGGCGATGGAGGAGTTTCTGGACATAGACTTTGGTGAGAGGTCATAGTCGCTGTCAGAGCGGTAGAGGAAGGACTCTCTCCTCTGGCTGTGCACAAAGTTGGCCTGGAGGATGAGACCTGATCCTGGGCTGGCCATGGGATCCAGCGGACTACGTCCTGATGAGGTGCCATTGTCCACATCAAAGCTGGGGAGACAAAACAAGGGGGCAGTTAGTGTTGATGTTAAATGAGAAAATTGGAGGAAGTAAAGTAGCATATTACTCAGGTTGACAGAGTTGACAATTTCCGGTAATATGGGCGTTTTGTTGACCAATTTTACCTAAGCAACGGTTGTGCGAATTGCCATTTTTTCAGACAAAAATTTACTATTTTCTTCAATGAGCATATAAAGGACATGTGCATTAGGATAGTTTTAAACAATTTTATGGAAATTATGAAATAATTCTCAATAAACTGTCAATAAAACTGTTAGGACTAATTTCCAAATAAACATGTAATGAAATAGTATAGACATAAAACAAAAACAAAAAAAATGTCAAAAATAAAACAAAAACCAACAAACACAAAATAAAAAAATCAACACACAAAAACAAAATAGCAAACATTTATCAAACAAACATAAAAAAAAAATTCAAAATAAAAATAAAAAAGCAAAAAATAGAGTAAAACTTAAATTTGCTCCAAGGTAATGTGACGATTTATTTAAATACATATTAATTTAGGTTGCTGTAATATTGTAGTGCAGCAACAGCAAAATAATAAAACACAAATTCATGCATTAAAAATTATAACCACAATACAAAAAACAATTCTTCCAGCAAATTCCTGATCGGGAGAGCCGTCCTTAACCTTCATCTCCCTAGTCCTTAGATCCACCCAACTGTGCTTACAACATGCTGACCCATAATCCCCGGGGAGCATTAATATAATTGCTCTGCCCTGGGTATTTTCCTGACGCGAACGGTGACGTGTTATTCTCGCTTAGCCACCATCATCACCTCCATGCAGGCTCACATCTGAGATGAGTAACGTGGTGTGGATGGATAAACCCGTATTAGTGGGTCAGCCTGCACCTTGGCGACTTCAGCAGACCGTACTGTCTGACACATACAGGGCCAATGATTCATGACCCACGTAAAACAGGGGATTTTTTGTTTCGAGTTTTGTTTAGACTGAGAACAAATATGTCAGCAACAACAAGACGTACGCATACGACCTTTCTATTGTCTGTGTTCAGTGCAATCAAAGCACCACAGTGCGAAGAGACAACAACATTTGGAGTTTGTGTCCTGTACTTTTTCAAGCCAACACTTTATTTTTGTGTTTCATTGAGAACTGACTTATTCACAGTTCATACTAGAGCTGGCGGTGAGTGGCCCGCTGATGTGCTGCCCTCATCTCTCTTGGGTCATATCACAGGAATGCACCGGCTTACCGTCTCACACTCTCAACTCTAGACATGCATTATGAATGAGATGGTTCTCCTTTTACTGTAACCCACACAAAAGCATTGATGCTTATGCTACAAAGAGGAATATGGGCTCCTATAATAACCATAAATAAGTCAACACACATTTCTTTCACTTGAAAATGAAAACGCCTTCATGATTCTAGAGAGATGGGACAAAACATGTCCAGTGATTTTCACAGCAACATTTTCACTTTTTGAAATTAATCAAAGATCACTAGAACCTTTATAAAATTTAAATAAATAAATGTAAATTTAATTTAAATTTACATAATCTTTTTTTTTATTTCATTGATATTATCACTCACTCGGCCTAAAATTCAGACCACAAAATATTTTAAATATTAAAATATGTATATAACAAAACCTAACAAAAATAATAATACATAAATAATATTTATATTGTAATTCTAATATTTTTGCACCAAAGGATAAATCCATATCTCTGAACATGTGAAAAAAATTTATCCAAAATAATTTATTTTACATACATTTTATTTATTTTTCACTTCTGTAGCTGTTCTGTCCCATGTCTCAAAAAACATGCACACTACTGTTTAAAATGAATAATTTTTTTTTTTTACATTTTTGAAAATATTCTCTTACCCTCAGGGTTGCAAAAACAGTAATATTGTGAAAATATTGTGCCGCTTAATATTTTTGTGGAAATAGTGTTATTTTTTGCAGGATTCTTTGATGAATAGAAAGTTCAAAAGAACAGCATTTATTTGAAATAGAAATCTTTTGTAATGTTATAAATGTCTTTACTGTCACTTTTGATGACTTTAATGTGTCCTTACTGAATAAATTAACAATTTTCTTAAAACAAAAAAAAAAAATCAAACTGACCACAAACTTTTGACCAGTGCTATATGTTCAGTTATTTTTCTATATCTGAATTCTTTTTTGAATATTGTTGTCTGATGGCAGAATCTGACATTAAACTTTTTTAAATCCTGATTCCTCATCATAAGACCCCTTTAGGATAAGACCAGCCCATCAACAAACAGCAGTGTTGTGAGCAGTTTGCTTTGTCTAATGTGTCTTCAGTTACAGAGAGGAAAATACACCACTCCCATCCTCTCTCCTTCCTCCTCGTCTTCACTTTGCTAGTGCTCTAATTTCACTCCCCTGATTTCCCTCTATCAAATAAGCAGTATGTGAAGGTCTCCATCTGTTCACTGTTGAAAGATCACTGCCTGCTTAAACTACACTTAACATCCAAACACACACAAGTGCACACACACCAACACATCTTAAAGGCCCAAAAACACAGCGCTGTGTGTACTTTTGAGTAATTACCTTGGAAGTGTTTTTAGTCCTGATATACAAACACGTCATAATTCACACATTACACAAACACAGAAAACCGTGGAACAATGAAAAGCAAAGATACTGGTTATATAAAATAACACAACACATTTCAAGCAGCTTTAAATCAGTGTCAGATAAAAACCTCCTCTACCTCATTAATCTTATGAGAAATATTTCTGTAACACTTATAAATGACAAATTGTTTAAAAAAAACACACAGTTCAGTATACCTAAGAGGTTAGTAGGAGTCTGAGTTTAATCACTAATTACCTTTTTGCTGGAATTGGACAGAAACTCTAAGCTCTTTGGACATCAAACAGCGCTCTGTGACGTAACACACATGATACATTAAACAGTCATTTCTAGATAATCATAATCACTTCCAGTTATTTTAAAGCATAATGGAGTGGGCTGGGTGGAATCTCTCCAGACATCACAGATATTATCAAAGCATGTAAGTGGAAATTACTTCTAACTTACTTGTCTGAACTTCTAGAGAATTTGCTGTACACCATTTAACTTTTATCATAAAACATCTACAGAGGACCTAAAAAGTATTTGAATGGAGCATGTCCATAGTTAATGTGCTGAACTACATCTGTGGTTACACTTCTCTGCACCTGTGTGAAGTGACTTCATATATCACCCCAAACTAGCCAAGTTCGTTAAAAATAAATAGTAAAAATAGCACAGAAAATTTAGAAGTTAAAGCTAGTTCTGAGAAAATCTAACATAATTGGTTTGCAGATGGGACTAGGTTTGACTTTTTGGGGTCACTGTATGTTGTTGGGTGTATGGATTTTGGTTCTTCATGAGTTGCTTACAACAAGAGTTCTCTTTCTCTCTAGACACTGAAGCGGTAAAGAGGATCAAAAGCAGAATGATTTAGAACAAAAATTTTTAACATAAACTTAAAGTCAAGATATATAAAAACCAAAGTGGTTCACTATAAAATCACCTAAAACTGGGGGCTCCAAATTCCAGTGTCCTGCAGAGTTTAGCTCCAACTTGCCTCAACACACCTGCCTGGAAGTTTCTAGTATGCCTAGTAAGACCTTAATTAGCTGGTTCAGGTGTTTTTAGTTAGGGTTGGAACTAAACTCTGCAGGACACCGGCCCTTCAGGACTGAGTTTGGAGACCCCTTACCTAAAACTATCACAATATGGGGGTGTTATTCTTCCACGAACTACAAGAATGACTATGGACAACATGCCAATTTATTTAATGGTACTTTAGCGGAAGGATTACATATGAGCGTCCAATAAAAATCCAAGGGATAATTACAGTAGCTGCAATCACTTCTATGCTATCTATGGCATCAGATGTCCAACTGGCTAGCTCTGTTGTTGTGGATACCCTGTCCAATCCCTTTGGGCATGTAGTTTAAGCCACTTTAATTGAGACTGGCTGTTCCCCAACTAACTGTTTTTGGCACTAAACCATTCTTTTCCGATTATAATGGCAGTCAACACTAACAATGCTCAGAGTTTGTTAAAGGAACTTAAATTATACTTTGAGCACTAATATTCATTAAAAAAAAGAAAATGACAACAGAAATGACTTGCTCACGAATGTCTTGTGAAATGTAAACCAGATACAAAACATTTCTGTTAACTGAAATAAAAATAAACCTAACTGGGAAAAACAGAAACTAAATCTAAGTACATATTTGTGATTCCAAAACTGAAGAAAAATAAATAAATTATCCCTAATGTTAAAAGTTGATGGATAATGAACTGGTAAGTGACTGCCTGCCCTCCTAGCATGTGGTCCATTAGAGCATAAGAGAGGAACAAAAAAGCACAGGAAATATGTAGTCTGATCCTGAGACATTCAAAAAGTGGAACCCTATGGTTTGAGACCACATGCAAAGAGAATGTAAAATACATTGTTTTCTTCTGATCACATGAGGTTGTTCCCAAAACACTGCCGGTATTCTTGTCAATCATGAGACAGAACAGGAATATGCTCAAAATAGACAAATAAAAGAGATGTGCAGATAAAAATAGCAGGCAGGAATAATTCATGAATCAAATCAAGCTCTGTCAAAAGCATAAAAATAACTGTTGCTAAAATTACCATGCTCTGAAATAAGCAAAGAAAATATGGGAAAGAGAATCAGTTAGTCAAAGCAGCAAAGTTTTGGGAGTGACTTATTAATTGTTTAGTTGAGTTCTGAAATTAAAATTCTCTGAACTATTGAATGTAGAAAAAGTTGACATTATATAAAAATATGAATTCAAATTATTTTTGGCCATTTATTTTGAGCAACTTAAATATTAAACAACAAGAACTTACGATGGATATAGAAAAGATTCAATAATTTAAAATAATCATATTTTGTTGCTTTGCAGCCTGAAATGAAGACAGACACCGTTTTTGTTTTATCCAGCTGTATTTAC